AAAAAAAAAAAAAAAAAAAAAAAAAAAAGAAAAGAAAAGAAAAGAAAGAAAGAAATAGAAACACTGCTGTAATAGGAAGCTTCAGCAGTAAAGTGAAAGCACCTCTTCTCTCCTAGGATATGCTACATAGCTGTACTACCCAACACTATTCATTATCACCATCTTTCTACCTCTGACAATTCCCACAACCCGAGTCTTGCTTGCCCTCTCAATTCCTTGGGTGAAATCTCAGGGACCTGTTTATTTTTAAACTATACATTAAGCCCCAGACTTGAGTGCTTCCTTAACTCTGAAGAATTTCACTTCTCTGTTACTTCAGACAGCAGCAAATAAAGACCAAGACCAACACCAGATCTTCACATTATCTGGGATCTTTCCAACTTAAACCTCATGGTCTCAAATATCACCACTTCAGCACAGTTCAAACCCTTCTGCACCTTTTATATTTTCACTGCATTGACCTCCTAAAGGTTTTTAGCTTTCTGATGGACTCTCCATGTCTACATATCTTCCTGCACTTACTACCTCCTACCAGTCCTCACATTGATCACCTGTGTAGTTTGCTCACCGGTATCCTCAACTCTTTTGCAAAATTTTTCTTCCACACTCCCCCTCCAGTTGTGGCACAATTACAGTTCTCCATCCATCCAACAGTACTCAAACTGCTTTCTGTCTCCCTACACAATACTTCTGGGCATTGCTAGAGAAAAAAAAAATTACTCTCTTGCTAGTGGTTTCCATAATTCCTTAATAATAATTAATTTACATACTCAGGTCCCAAGACTGTCTAATAATCTTTTTAATTTTTCTTTTGCAACTGTTTTTCCTTTTCTCTGGTGAATTTTTGGAACTAGTGTCACTCACTTAAATGTCTATACCCAATCCCAACTCTTTTATTTTCAGCAAACACTTCTAAACAAACATCAAAATTTAGGGCACCCAAAATAATTTCATGCTTCCCCTTTCCCAGACCATCATACACTGTGTAAAGTTCGCCACATCTTCTTCTCTTCTTTCACTCTCATGGTTCTTATGGTATGGTACTGAATGAGTTCCAAATCTAAGATGCCAGCCTTGACCCACACCCACAGTTTTAAACTCATATCCACCTACTTGCTGAGGTTATTTGCTAAAATGCTCCACAAGAACTCCAATACATCAATAGGAATTAAACTTATACCATATTTTCCTTTATAAATTTAGGCCTGTGTTCCCATCTTGTCTTATTAAATGAGCATTGTCCCATTACTAGAATCAGACAACTGAATGTAATTATTCCCTCCTCTCCTTCACCTCTACGAGTCATTAAGTGCTTGTGTGAGTCAGAATTCTAAGAAAATCTATAGAATAATATGGTAATTTTAATCATAATCTCTCTACCTATACTATTCTCTCCCCTTAACAAAAGATGGGAAATTTGACCTGCTTATATTCAATAAAATATGGCAAAAGTGTTGCCATATCTATGTCATGACTGAATTATGACTCCATGTTAGGAGACTTGCATAAGAGAAATTCCCTTGCTGAGGTAAGGGAGCCATGCTGCAATGAACTTGGGCTTGCTGAGAACAGACCCTGGTTGAAGCCAAAAAGGAAAAACAGGGACCTTATTCATATAGCCATGGGGGAAAGAGGCAGCTGTAGAATTGAAAGGTGGGTTCCCCAATGTTCTCAGCGAATGACTCTTCCTAAAGTTTAACTTACTACAAAGGATAATGTTGGGCTTGGGTGAGATAGAGAATAATCATAAGCTTGGGAAATGAGAAACATAACTTTGTAGACATCTACTCTGCTTTTCTATACAGATAAGCTGTAAGCATTCAATTCAAATTATTCACAAAAACAAAAGTTTAGAATAATTAGTTTGAATTAATACAGAATCTTTTTATGCAGATCTGAATCATTTCTACTGAAATGGAATACATTTTTTTTTCATGTTTTGAAGTATAATACATTACAACATATTCAAATTCAAGAACATTTTATGATAAATTTTAGCATCTGGGTAAAGTCAAGGAGGGATGAATAAATGAAAATCCTAGGTAACCGTCCATCTAGATTTGTCTCATAATTGTTTAAACTTTTGAAATTTTTACATTAGATGCATCCAAAATTAACTGCAAAATACATTGTTCACTTACCTGATGTTTCACTTTCTGCCCAGAGAGCTGCAGATCCAGACAAAGTTCTTTGTAGTTGTCCACGGTTTCCTTGTTTAGACTGAAGATGGTCAATGAGAAATGGGATTGGCTGGTCAGGTGTTTCAGTTATTAACTTGGTCATTAATTCCTGGAGGCGGAAGAGAGCACATATTTACATCTAGTTAATGCAATAATAATAATAACAAGCACACATCGTTTCTCATGTCCAATAGATGTTGGGAAATGGGAAGAAAGTGTTCATGGGAAGAGGAACAAGGAAAGAGGAAGAGAGAGAAGAAGGAAGGGACAAGAAATAAAGGAAAATGGAAACAAAGTTTTTGTACATAGGGAAGGAAGGGGCTTGAAAGGGGGAAATGGAGTAACAAAATAAAGTGTAATTAAAAATAATAACATGCGCTACCTCAGAATTCATTGCTGTCAGTCGCTGCTCAAAAAATTTGTATACGGAAACTAATTTAATACTCATTAGAATATCTTCAGGCAAATATGAGTTACTGTCCTCATTTTTAAGATACTGAATTATAGAGTAGTGAACTGTCTACACGGCTAAAAGAAGCCAATATATATTTATTTTTATTTTTTTATCATTGTACTTAGCCAAGAACATACTAGAAAATTTATTAAAATTCTTTATTCTAAAATATGACTCAGAATTTTAAATTTCTGATGACTATTTTGGGAGATACCATTTCAACCTAAGTGTCAGCTAAAATACACCATATACTTTATATACTAATGTCATTTTTCCTTCTTAACTATGTATATAAACATCTCAACATGAAAAAATTTTGGAATGAAAGAAACAAGCGATAAGATACTGACTCACAGAAGCCAAAAGTATGTAGTAAATAGTTTCCAAATAATAGAGAAATTTCTTTTTATACAGAGCCCTGTTGAGTGCTTGCTTGGCAGCATATATACAAAGTCCTGTTGAGTAAATTTATTCTCTCTATCTCTCTCTCTCTTTGTTAGGTCTCCATCGGCACAACACGCAGTTCCATTTTTAGACAACTCTAATGATACCTTTAATTGGGGCAGAATCTGCCCAAGGGCAATGTCTACATTACTTTTTTCCTGTCAGGAAGAGCAAAGACCGATCTCCAATTTATGGTCAATTAGAATCCCAGATTGTTTCCACGTGAACAGCCATCAAGCCACGTGGACAGCATTTTGCACGATGGAATTAGGTTTGTGAACTTGACTGCACCATTTTACATTCCTATCAGTCACGTTCTATCTGGTTGGTCTTTGCCCAAAATTCTAGTCTGTCGGTTGTCATTTTAAGTGCAGATTCTGTGAGTAGCAGTCATTCTAATGAGTAAGCCAGAAAAGTACGAATTAGGGGTCCTAAGGGAAGGAGTACTGGAAAGTGCTCACCACACCGTCTTGGTTCGTGGTAGCATTGTGTTAGTCTGTCTTGAATGTTGTTCTGTCAGATGTTCACATAGCAGGCTTGTCATCAGTCAGTCACCAATGATAAGTGTAATAAAAATACAGTAAACACTTATATTTTAAAAGTCTATTACAGTAAATGTTATAGTGCCATTAATCCCCTCAACTGCCCCTCATTTCAAACACACTCCATCATTCTTGCCATTTTCTGTAGAAGCTCTGGAGGTCCTCTTTAGTAAGTGTCTTCGCTTGTACTGTTGTAGCTGCCTTCGTGTCCTAAATAGATTCAGAAACTTTACTTTTCACAGTCTTTTTGACTTTGATGAAGAGCCAAAAATTGCACAGTGCCAAATTCAGTAAATACAATGGGTGAAGACAAGCAATTATGTTTTTACAAGCCCGCCATTCTATTGGATGGTAGCTGGGGGCAGCATTCACTGTATATTTTAATCCTATTTCATAAAGATACCAAAGAACACATCTAGAATTTCTTCAGAATGTAGTAAGAATGACAGGATAGGCATGCCTAAAGTGAGGGTGAATATTGTGAGGAAGATTCATGGCAATGTGTCTCTTACTGTAAAAAACTTTCAAAATTTAAATATTTACTGTATATTTCAATTGTACCTGTACCTTCAAAGAGAGTTTCACCCTAAGTAGTCTTCATGAGTCTTTATTACTTTATTATTTTATTTTCTTTATAGCATTCAGCACTCTTCAGAGTCATTTTGTTTAATATTTGCTCACCAGTTTGTTGCTTGCTTCTCTGCAAGTACTAAGAACAAGGGTTTACCTGGTTTGATCTCTACTCTCTACTTAGAGTATCTACCTAACTCATAGCTGGTGTGGAATAAATATCTAATGAATGAATGAATGCTTGATTAATTCACTAAAAGTACTTAAAACACCTATTGTATCAATAAGTAACAAATAAAACACTCATACATTTTTCAGGCTAGCAAAATATAATTTTTGGATCTCCCATACAAGAGAATGCTGTTATTAATTCAAATATATTTATTTACATTTATAAACACCTAGAAACACCCACATTTATCTAAGTAGAGGCCAAATAAGTTGTATAAATGACAAGATCCCAAGTTGATTTTAGAGATTTGAATAAAACCAGTGTCTCAAAATCATGCAGACTGAACAGAGTTGGAACTCAAAAGCACAAAAGGCTTCTACCGTTAGTACACTGTAGTGCAAAAATATTTAGCAAACGAATATGGTACTTTTTACATTCTGCAAAACAGGTAAGCAAACAAGCAGCTGCCATAGGGCTTACTTATTTCTGCTATGGAGACATCTCAATTAATGTCTTGAAAACTAAAGTGATTGCTCTTCTGCTGTTGTAATAATAATGAAGCAACAAAACGTTCAATTACACCCCAATTATACATCAGTGGAATGCAATTTAACATTTTAAATGTTGCATCTACAGGAGAGATTAATTAGATTTTATTTGAAATCACTATACATTACCAGGGCCACTGGAAGATGGAAAGAAAGATAAGAAAAACTAATGAGATTACTCATCAGAGAAAAACTGGGTAGTAAGAATAAAAATTAAGTCAGATAAGGCTCCAGATCCACAATACTTTCTTCAGACCTCAGGAGATCTCATGTGATTTCTTATGTTTACACTTTTACCTTTCAAATCAATGGGAAATTTCTGTATTTTCATTCTTTGTGTTATTCTTTGTTTTAAAAGAATAAAAATGTCCCTATGTTCCCTTTAGAAGCTGAGTAAATGTAATAAATTAAGTACTTTCTATTACATTTTACAAATATTATCACTCTAGTAACTAGTTTTGCAAATCTTTGTATTCCATTAATAAATATATGAGATTAAAGACATGGAACAAATTCAGTTATAAGCAAAATGAAAATAGTTAATGTTTGCAGTAGGGTATGTTGAGTAGCTTAATTGGGAAAAATCGACTTTATGCAGTTCTATTTAAAGGAATTATCCTCTCTCACTTAATCCATGCATCCATTGGCACTGGGACGCAAGTGAATCTGAGCACGTGAGCTTGCAGAAATCCTTTTTGCAGGCATGAAAATTTAAATCTTTGATTTGCAAAGATGTTCCTGGCAATAAAAAGATTGATTTCTTTCTACCTCTAGGATTTAGAAATACAAAAATAGATCTGAGGGACTGATAGATTTGAGGAGGTGAGAATAGAGTTGTGCAGCTAGAATATCAAGTTGTAGCAAGATATTGATTTCAGGCAGTTTCACAAGGACCATTCACCATAAGAAGAAGAGTATTCCAGATCATTAAGCCAGGCTTGGGTTCAGAGGCTGAACATTTTAGGGAACAGTGTTCAAGAAGGGACAGGAGTCTTATCTACAGTTCTTATCTTATGTCTAAGAGTCATAGCACAAAATTCTCTGGGACAGTTCTTACAAAAGAACTATGGAAGTGCTCATAAGACTCCTGCCCTGGAATAAAATATGTATGGATATTCTACATTAAGGATTTAGGGATTGATAAAACACATGTTTTTAAAATGTAATCCTGTTACTACTCACAGGCTAGATATACCTGGGATATTCAAGTTTCAAACAAAACATTAGCAGTTGTCGTAAACAGGAGGTTAAATGCATAATTACCAATATAAGTAACATTGATAACTATTACAAAATGTAGTGGAAGATACAGAAAATGGTAGTAATAGACATCCAGGCCTTCAAACTAGATGGACATTGTTTTGCATCAACATGTCTCCTACTTACTAGCAATGTGACTTTGAACAAGGCATTCAATCGCTTTAACATTTAATAGTCCATTGGCTACATGTGAACAGTAATAGTGCCTACATCATCACGTCGCCATGGAGATTAAAAAGATAATGACTGCAAAGCATCCACAAAATTATTTGAGTTATATGCAGACCACCATGATAGATTGCCTATGACTTCCTTTTAAGACTGAGAATGAAAGCATTTACTAGAATCTTCATATAATCTCTTAGATGTTCCCGATGAGAGGAATTTTAAGGGTTTTAGAAAGCAGAGAGAAGCAGAAAAATATTACTCTCCAGAGTTGATTGGAAGCAGATATAAGAGCACATAAGAGTCAGCAGCTTTCCCAGGGAGTCTGTGGAAAACTCCACTGCAGAATGGGGCAGGAATAAGAGCTCTGCAAAAGAATCAAAGACTTGCAGCAGAGTCTAGAAAAGCATCTGAGAGTGACTTCCTTCTGCACTTCAAACTGAGCTCTTCAAGGTCAGCTCTTCAGATTCTCGGTGGCAGACCATCCCTCTTCCTCCATCCCAAAAGTGTTAGTCACTTTTCTCTTCTTGCTGAGGCAAAATACCTGACACCTAAAGTTAAATGGAAAGGGTTCATTTAGCATACAACTCATAGAGGTTTCAGTCCATAACTGGCTGGCTCCAAGGGAGGGTGGCATGGCAGACAGGCCTCTCAGAGGGGAAACAGCTTATGGCACCCAGAAGGCAGCAAAAGCCACAAAGCAACATGAGAGCCTTTCTGTCCCTTTTATCCCATCCAGACTACTGGGGTTAGGGTAGTGGGTGACAAACCAATCACTCACGTGTAGTGTTTTAGCAGTCACACACCCTCAATGCCAACATCACACACTCCACACCCAGCCACCTCCGACAAAGAAAGCCCCACCTCATCTCATGAGGCTTTGCGGGGACATCCAAACACAAGCCCCAGCACCAACCTTTAGCAGAACTTCCTTGGCTGCTTGGCTGGACACTA